ACTGGCATGTTCAAATTTTTCTGTAGTTGAAAAGCTATGAAGATAAGTTTTAGAAAGCAAATTCTATATATGCATCTGAATTGTATGCAGATTTTGACTTTAATTTTTGGTTTCTTGAAACAGAGCCTCTTATGTAGCCCAGAGTGACCTTGAATCCATGGCAATCCTTCTGCCCCAGCCTGCCAAGTGCTAGCAGTGCAGGCATGCACCATCACACCCACCAGTATGCAAATTTTGAGTTTTGCTATCCACTAGATAGTAGATGTTTCCATGGTCTCGGTCTACTATTATGTCATAATAAATGCCCACATGATATTGCAATTTGAACTTTTATAATAAAAATACTTCTTTTAAAGTATAAATACCACTCGTCCCTACATTAACTCAAAATCCCCCTTGGTATCTGTCAGTCTCTGTGTGTCATGTATTGCAAGTAGGATTGGTACAAGTTCAGCTCCTGTTTGTAACTCTTCTCTATTGGATTAATTGCTTTTCTCATGGTTGTGAACAAATACCTGACAAAATGCAACTTAAAGCAGGATATTTGTTTTGTTTGCCAGTGTGAGGAGACACAGTTGAGCACTACAAGGAAGGCATGGTGGCAAGACAGAGACCGAGGGCAGCTGGCATTTTGCTTGTTTTCTCCTTTGTTGTGGATTTGTGTTATACTGTACCTTTTACCCCAGGGTCTTATGAAAATATATGATGCAGGGGCCTGAAGTTCCAACAATGGCCTAGCTGAACAGATTTATTTTTGAATGCTATTCTTCATTTTGGGGAGGTCTGTGTGTGTGTGTGTGTGTGTGTGTGTGTGTGTGTGTGTGTGTGTGTGTTCTGGTATGTTGTTTAAAAATAAGAACTTTGTAAGCAGTATGAAAGGCAGAGGCGAAGGAGGAAGAGGTGGCGGGAAGAGGAAAAGGGGAAAGAAAAAGAAGAAGATCGAGTTCCAGCACTCAGTGCCCTTTGGGTTCTGTCTCTATTTCCTCTACCTGTTAATTTATTGCTTTATTTGACAAATACTAATTGAGCACTCACTGCATTTTTATTCCATGTCTCAAGTCTTGCTCTTGTTACTCCCCACCAGGGCCAGAAAGCCCCTTTAAAGTCTCCTCTCTTGAGTTCAAATTATGTAGTGCATGCATGGAAACTATATAACTAAACCTGTTTCAAATGTGTATAAAGAGTTAATAAGCTTTCTTCTGAGGTGCTGAGTCCATGTTAAGGTTGGAGAAATGAAAGAAAGGGAGGTCCTTGTGAATTTCAGCAACAGACATGCTGTAGTGCATGGTTAGTAGGGGCTTTATTTCCTCTTTGCTTTTTAATAGTGGTGTGTGCTGGAGATGTAAAGAGATGGGATTTTTGGCTGGTGGAAATCTACATAAATCTAGCTTGGCCCTCAGTGATGTGAGGAACTCTAAATACTTGCAGGCTAGCATCAAAAAGAAATCATTGATTAAACACAGGAAGAGTAATGTAGCAAATTGAGAAATTCAGACACTTTTCTATTTGCATATACTAAGACATTCTGGTCCCTTGGAACTGGTTTTCCACATTCAGTAGTGAACTTTAAATACATATGAACTCCCTATTCAAATAGTACATTCAGGCAAAAGTGTGAAGAATTTAACAGAAATATCAGTTTTCCTTTTGTCTCTAATTTACTATTTATGCCCAAATTATCTTTTGTAGAAATCTTTAAAATGAGGTTTCCTGCCCCACAAGTATTGCATTGGTGACTTCTTCCAGTTTCCCTTTCCCTTTCTGTTTTCTTCCTATTACAAGGTAGAGGACTGGCATGGGGGAAGTAAAATACCTACAGTCTTTAGTCTGAGGCTTGGGCAAGAAAGAAAAACAATTTTAAATTACAAATACATAAAATTAACCTGAGTCCTTAAAACTAAGTGTTACCACGGAGACCAGAGCAAGATCTGTCTCCATGGAGATCTAGATTTTTTTTTTTTTGCTTTAAATTATCATTTATTACCAAATGTCAACTTGGCTAAGGAAAAGATTTAAAAGGATGAATGAATGAATGAAGAAATGAAGGACAGAACTAGCCTCACATTAATTTATTAAATTAAGTCTAAATTGTTCTGGTTCTCGTAATTCCAAAGAGTGGGAGATAGATTTCCCAGGAGACAACTTTCTCTCAACTCCGGATTTCTAATAGAAACATCTGATGGTATGGTTCCATAAATGCTACAGGAAGGAGTGGGCAAAGATGATTTCTAGTAAAGGCAGAAGCACTAAGGTGTGACAAGGGTGATACGATCCTATCTCACTGCCACGCTAGCTGCAAGGAAGAGGTGGTTCTTTGTCAATGTCATATTCCACTAATGGACCAGAGATATCCCTAAATGCCCATCCTTTATCATGTCTGCTGCATATTGCTGTTTTCAATGTGTGTAGTGAGATCAAACAGACTTCTATTACATACCAGATAAAGAGAACCAAGAAAAAGCCACACGTTAAAACTGTATAATCAGAGGTAAGACAGAGTTTCTCCCAGTTGTATGTTGTATTTGTACCAGTAAGTACAGTCACATGACTGTTCAAATACTCAGTTGATAAGTTACCCAAATGGTACATTATAGATCTTAGATGTTCAACAATTAAATTTTAAAAATCACTAGAAAAATGTATTGTAATTTAATATAAGCTTTAACATATCATAAAATAAGGCAATTGGAGGTTCAGCATGGTGCCTGGAGGCCATGCTGAATATCATCAACAGAGAACACAAAAATCATGAGGGGGGAGGGGGAGAGAGAGAGAGAGAAAGAGAGAGAGATTAAATAGCCCATGAAAAGGACCAACATGAGAGCAAAAAGAAGTCAAAGCCTTGCCTATGTGACCTTAGTTGGAAACCTGTATGTTGGTGAAAACATTAACCCTTTTTGCCTGTGTGTCTGTACATGTTGAAAAAAAAAGTGCCTCAAGTATTGATTTTGAGTTGCAAATAAATATTACCAAGTAGGTGAATTTACACATAGAATTCACAAGTAGAGTCAACTGCATTCGCCACCCAAAGGGAGCTCTTTCTACTTCTTGGAATGTTGTTTCTATTTCCTGCTCTCTTCTGTTCACCTATGGAGCCCCTATTGTTCCTTCAAAACCCTGGAACAAACACACCCACCCACACATGCATAACATACTACACACACAGGTAACTTTTGTCTCAAATACACATCTGTTTTGCACAAATCAGATTATAAGATTATATTCTCCTGTTGTAGCATATGAAATCCCTCGGAGTGAGCATCTGAATGCATATAAATAACTGTTTGTGTGTTAACTGCATGCCAGGCTTAACATTAAAAGATGTTCCACACAATAATCCTATCACCACTATTTTACAATGGTACAGTTAGGCCTGGGGCAGTCAAGTCACTTGCCAAATCACATAGCTCAGGTTTATCTAACACGCAGGTTTTATATTGTGGCATAGTAAATAGTGTTAGCTATCAAACATTATTGACCATTTATACTATTGCAGATACAATAAGTGCTTTACAAAAATGATCACATCGATAATTTGTGCTTCTATTTCTGTGTCCTAACGTAGTAAAGTGCATTATGAATAAATATTTGCTGGGCTGATTTAATTCTCCTTCCAAACTCAACAGTGGAATGCTACATTTTTCAGCAATAGCTGAAATGGCTTCAGTGCTCCACTACCTTTCTTTCTCACCAGGTTCCATATCTTTCACGTTTCTGTTCTTCTGTGGCTCTGCTACTTATGGTCATGGTGCTTACAACTAAACTTCAATGCAACAGTAATGAAGAAGCAGGCAGTAGCACTGTCCCTTTGCAAAAATTCTAACAGTAACTTACAGTGGTTATGTATATGATGACCCAAATCTTTAAGGGATGACAGGTCCACAGAAGAGTTAAGTGTTTTACTTGAGGGCCATGAAGTAAGACTACATATGTCAAGATAAAAAAGGCTATATAGAGCTTGATGCCTGCCCTCAGCAAGTATGGCTGTGAAGAACCCAAACTGCTTCATTTGAGCCACCCAACCCAGAAGTTGTCTGTCCCTATGTCCCCACACCAGCCTGTTTCTGTCATAAACATAATTGTGTGTGGAAGTGGAAGGAAGAGTCTCTTTCCTCTACATAGCTTTGGATCCTATCAATATACTGTCTCACACTGAATTCAACGAGGGCAGAAAGTCCATTTAGGGATGAGAAATAAAATCAAAAAGCTGTAGGAAAGTAGACAGGCTCTAGGAAGTCTTCAGGACAGACAGGGCAAGTGTCACATGGTCCAGGAATGGATGTGTGCAAGCAGCTGAAGCTGAAGTTGCTTGTCTCCGATCAAAGGTGAAGATAAAAAGTAGACAAAAATTGTGACTTGTTTTCATTTCCGTCTTTCCACATCTCTTAAATATTACAAATACTCTGAAAGTAACCACTCACAGAAATTTGACTCAAAAGTCTCCATTTTTCTCCAGTGCTGCTGTCGCTAATGGTGCTGTATAGGCTACTTTAATATTTAATTTTTTAAAAGAGAGAGGGAGAAATTCCAAGTGAATGTGAACCGTGATTCCTAAAACACAGGAAGTAAACCAAATGCTTCCTAGGGTCAGGTCAGGTCAGAGCTGCATTAAGAGAAGTTCGGTTTTCAAGGGAAATTGGTGTTCAGTCCTTGGTCAGTGATAGTCCCAGGAGACAAAGTCTTCCTCATGACAGGCCTTTCAGTTTTCCAAGAGCACACACAACCCTGGATAACCTGGGGTGTTGAGGAAGTAAATGATAGCCTGGGGGGATGCTGAGGGACTGTTTCACACCTGTGCCTTTCCCTTTCCTTTCTCTCTTCCCTGTTCCACTCCTCTCTCTTATCTTTTCTATTTCCTTACTCTCCTTTCACTTTCCTTTCTCCTCTTTTGTTCTTTCTCTTCACTACTGTTTCTTCTTTTTTTACTCTTCCCCTCTTCTGTTCCATCATTCTCTACTCCTCCCCCTCCAGCACTCAGGAACTACAAGCAGTTTGCTCACCAGGAATACACCAACACCGGCTTCGAGTATTTCTTGTGACCGGAGCGGAGAGTCAGGGAGCCTTTGCGCTCCATCAAGTCCGTGGGCCCCAGCTCATACCACTGTTCCTTACTGTCGCCGTAACAGTCCTGGTATGAGTTATCAAAAGTCCCCATGTCTGCCTTAGATCTAAGAACCGACCTCAAGGGATTTCCATCCGAACAGGTCTAGCTCTTCCTAACAAGAACCAAGATTCTGCGTCCTTTGTCGCCTACCAACCTGGGCGTGGTCAATGGAGGGGGCGGAGTCAGTGAAAGGTTGGGTTCCTTTAACCTAATCACCCTGGTTTCCCCGCATTGTAGTTACTGATTAAAACTACATTTCCCAGAATGCAGTGAAGATGACAATCAGGCAGCACAGACTTTGGAAGGAGAAATGCATTCTGGGATTTGTAGTTTCGTTGGTCCGCCAGCCTGAACTAAGAATGGGGCAGTAAGTTCAGTTAAGGTGAAGTTGAGCATCTCCAAAGCACTAAGTTGGAGCTCTCTATGTAGAAGTTCATTTGACTGCCCATCATCCGTTGCCACTACACCTCTGTTTACGGTTATTTAAGTTTGACTAGAAGAGAGCAGAAAGTTTGAGAATCAAAAAGTCTGGTTCATCTCTCAACCATGCTAGGCCCTGCCTTCCTCCCCTTAAAAGCAGCGGAGGGAATGAAATTGTGTTGTGGGGTGGACACAAAAATCTCAGAGACAAAATTACCTCTAGGCACAGTTTAGGACCCCAGCAGGCATTCAGCCTCCAGAGAAATACCAAGTTCTCATCATTCTTCTGACATTTTGCGACAACACAAATTCTTCACATTTACTGTGCTATGCGTTGTATGTGGGATAGAAATTTCAAAAAGATTATCTTGCCTTCAAGACGTCACAGGCTGTGTAATATAAGGGAAGGTAATTCCCACCCCGCTCCCCCATCTTTCCATAAAGAGAAATGTAGCACATTAAAATTTTTCTTTCCACCCTTAACTGAGCACTTTAGGGGCCTTCCCGTGGACTTTTTCATTGCTATCATTCATAGTGTGGTGCCTACTACATGCCTCCTTTCAGTATCAAATGAACAAATGAATACTATGTTGACTTAGATTTGCACGTACTTCCAGAAGCCCAGAAGTTACATAAAGATCACCTATCTGAGAATGGTGGTACCTTACTATTATCCCAGAATTCAGGAGGCTGAGGTGGGAGGATCGTGAGTTTGAGATAAGCCTGGAATAAATAGTGAGACCCCATCAAATAGATAGATAGATAGATAGATAGATAGATAGATAGACCGATAGATAGATAGATAGATAGATAGATAGATAGATAGATAGATAATTTTAAAGCAGATTTAAAAGACAAACAGAGCATGTGGAAGTCACTTGGTTTCTGATTCAAACATGAAATCAGAAAAATAATAACTTCAAGTAAGGTAATTTTTTTAAATCACAAAGAATTCATACTTAAGAAAATAGTAAGAGATATTCACATTACAAATAGATTCATTTGGTGGGCGTACCTTTAATTCCAGCTCTGGGAGGCAGAGGCATGTAAAACTCTGTGAGAAAGAGGCCAGTCTGGTCTACATAGCAAGTTCCAGGCCAGCTGAGGTTACAGGGAGACCCTGCCTTGAAGAACCAAAATAATACATACATACATACATACATACATACATACATACATACATACATACATAAATGACTCATTTATAAAAGATTTATTGATTCTACAAATACTGAGGTATCCCTCAGGATTCAATTTCACAAATTTAATTACACATATCTTCTAAGTGCTTTTTTGTGGCTTGTAGTACATGGTATGGTCACCTTCAATAGGTTAAGATCCCTAATTTGTTCACAGTCACAGTAATCCATGTTATCTGAAAACAAATAAATAATCCTCAGTCAGCAGCTAAGTGGTAGCAGAGTGTTGACTGCTATTTTAGCCCTTTCCTTTTGATGAAAAGATAAATGAAAGTTAGCTATAAGAGGGTTACTAAGAGCTGCATGAAGTTTAGCTCTGTCCAGTGAAAGTGGAATCTGTTGTTGCAGCAAAAACACCTTCATTACTATCATCTGTGTTTAGTTTACTTACACTTCTAGTGGTAATAACATCATATATGTGCAACCAATATATATTTACATACCATTTGACTCAGATGCACACTGCCCAAAGCCAAGCTCTTTCTGCAGTGTACAGCTGTGCAGAAACTTGAAAGGTGTTCAGGGGAGAGGCTGTTGTATCCTGGTGGAGATTTGAAAGGTTTTCAGCACAGAAAATAAACAAAACAAATATAGTCTTTATTTAGGCATTCCTTAAGCCAAACTGACTGTGAATATGATTTTATTATATTTTTCTCCTTTTTAAAAAGGTGTGTGTATGTGTGTGTGTGTGTGTGTGTGTGTGTGTGTGTGTGTACGTACGTACATGAGTGCAAGTGCTCAGGGAGGCCAGAGGGATCAGATTCCAATGTAACTGGAGTTACAGGCAGTTGTGAATCACCCAACATGGGTGCTGGGAACTGAATTCAAGTCCTCCACTAGAGCAGCATGCATTCTTTTTTATTTTTAATGTATAAGAGTTTTTTGCCTGCATGTACATAAGGGCACCCATCCATACTATATCCACAGAGGCCAGAGGAAGGCATTAGATCCCCTGGAAATGGAGTTAAGGATGGTTGTTAACCACCATGTGGCCGCTGGGAACTGAACCCAGGTCCTCTGCAAGAGCAGCCAGTGATCTTAATCACTAAGCCATTTCTCCAGTATCCAATATGTGTTCTTAACCAATGAACCATCTCTCCAGCCCTATTTTTTTCCTGTTAGTATTAACCTTCCTAAGGTTTATTATCCTCAATGTCTACTAATTGTTTTCCATTATCCTTGTACCAGGATGTGGGGAATTAGCTCTGATATCTGATATATAGTTACATCTTTGTATACATTAGAGCATTATGTCCTTTTTTTTCTCTCTTTTTGAGACAAGTCCAGGCTGGCCTCAAACTCACAGAGGTCTGCCTGTCTCTACCTCCTGAGTTCTGGGACTCTTTATCAATAAAATAGGGCAGAACAGAAGTTATTATCAAAGGTCTTTGTGAGAATTACCTAGCAAATACACCAGATACAGGTAAAACAATATCTAATAGGTGTTCCTTCCTCAGGTTCAGTTACTGCTACTATTATTATTGCATCTGGGCTTTATGTATATCATTTCAGTGTAGTTCCCTAAATACACCCTTGTGTAATAAGTTTATGTGTATGAGTGTATTGCTTATGTAGGTAGGTGCACCTGTGTCATGCAATGCCCGTGGAGGTCAGAAGAGGGCATCGGATTCCCTAAAAATGGAGTTGGGGGCCATGTGGGTGCTGGAAATCAAACTCAAGTCTTCTGCAAAAGCAGCTAGTGCTCTTAACTGCTAAGTCCCAAAATATACCACTCTTAAACCAAATCTCTTTACCGGTCCTTTTAATGAATATCTTTTAATCATATTTTTCCTTCTTTTTCTGAGCTGGTCCTACAAAAGAGTCAAAACAGAAGACAAAAAAATGCTAGTTCTGTGAATTGTCTCTTCTTTACAGTTCTATAAAATACCACAATTAAAAGGAATTCCATGAGATGACTTGTAATCATGTTTAATACAAAATTTAGTAGTTTGAATCAGAAAAATAATAGGAAAAAAATTTAATGTGTTATCGGTGCACAGGTTGGTTTTGTACTCATATATAATCTTTTCATGGCTATAAATAAGATTTGTGGTTTATAAAAGTGAAGTTTTATAAACTGATCCTCAACATACTTGAGTTGCTCCAGTTTACCTCAAACTTCTCCCAGCCAATGAAGCATACAGCTTACAGTAATGCCGTCTATTGACATCAGCCCCTTTTCAGCCCTCTCCTTATGCTGAAGGGCCTCCTAGGCAAGCACTCTACCACTGAGCTACAACTCAGCCCTAAATTTCTTTGTTTGGTCAGACCCCTGAAAAGCCTGTCAAAAAGAATTGAGCATGACAACAACAGCAAACTTAAAAAAAAATTCAATGTATGTTTTAGTTTCCTTTCCTGTTTCTGTGATAAATACCCTGACAAAAGAAATTTAGAGGAGAAACAGTTTACTTCAGGTCACAGTTCCAGGTCACAGTCCATCATAACAGGGAAGTCACAGCAGCAGAAGCTTGAGAGAGCTGCTCACATCTCATCTGTCATCAGGAACAGAGGAAAGAATAAATGTATGCACAGCTTGCCCTCTCCATTTCACACAGTCCAGGATCACACATACACCCATTTCCAGAAAATGGTCCCACCCACAATTAAGATGGTATTTCCTGAGACTGCCAAAGAGTGCCTGTTACGGCCTCCCTCTGGCATGGGGGCTGAGAAATCAGGGCACCTGAGAGCACCTGGATCATGCCTCCATGTGGTGGTGAGCTTCCCCAAATCCTGCCATACCCAACCCCCTAACTGGGATTACATGAGGCCCCTCCCAAGTCTCCTGAACCAACCTCTGTCCTTTGGTAGGATAAGGCTGAGATCTTATCAGACAGCTGGAGAGAGCCTGTTACAACCTCCATTGAGTGGTGGCTGAGATTGCAGCTGACCACCAGAGAGAGCCTGTTCTGGCCTTCCTCCGGCATAGGGGCTGAGAACTCAGCAAACTACTTGAGAGTCCCAAAATCAGCCCTCCCTTAGAGACTGTTCCAAATTTTGCTCTGAGTTCCCGATAATAAGGGTCTAAACCTTAGAAGGAAGCCTGAGTGTACTTGACTGGAACCTGACTTGGGCTTCTTTGGAAGCTCCTGAGTAACTGATTTGAAGCCATCAGTTCCCTTCAAAATAAAACCTGAGAGAACCTGAAACCTCAACCAACCAGCACTACATAACCAAGAAGAAACGGACCAAGGCACCCTGATAATACAAACAGAAGCAAACTCCAACTTATTTTTATATCAGAACCACAAACAACAAAAGAAATTCACATGCCAAAATCACGATGAAAAAATAATAAAATAGAAAGCCAAAACACTATGTCCCCACCAAACTCTACCAGTCCTGTAGAAGAGTTCTACAAGGAGAACCCCCTAGGATACAGATTTTAAAAGAACAATCATAAACATGATCAAGGAATTCAAAAAATTTAAAAAACACACAAACAAATCAAAGAACTAAAAGAAGATAGGGATAAACTTCTGAATGAATTCACAAAAGAGATAGAAACATTGACGAAAACTCAGGCAGAAATGAAGAAGGAACTAAAAA